AGGATATACTATATACTACCTACTAANAAATAAATAATATACTATATATTATATATATATATATATATATATATATATATATATATATATATATATGAAATCCTTGTTTTTTTACTGCTATGAGGAAATATTCCTACCACAAATATCTAAGCCACGCTTCATAAAGTTCATCAAATATCACTGAATTTATATGTAATGTAACCTTAAATCAATAATATATGATGCCCCCACTGCCCATAGCAAATCGATTGATGAAATACTACATTTGCACAATGATCGAGAGGGTCTAATGGACATCCCAAGAATTTTAGTTTAGGAAGCATAGATGAATTTAAAATACACAAGATTTAAATACATAAATATTTAGAAAAATTTATGAGATTATAAAGTTGAGTATATTTGCTAGTATATATCTAAATAAAATATCAAAAGCAGTGTCTAACTTTAACTTCAACTTATGTACCAAGTCTTACATTTTGGGGTGGCAGCGGATCATGTAGGGATCCAGACCCGAAAAAATTTATGGGAACCAGACCTGACTCAAAATAAAAAAAATATTTAAATATTTTGTTAAATATAAACATTTGTTATTTAAATGTTATAATTAAAACTATATAGTTATATTTATTTATATATTATTAAAATTATATATATTAAATATTATTTAAATAATAACAGGTCGGATCCACGTGGACCCAGACCCAAATAATGTTCGGCTCTAATTTTTGGACCCATACTTGGACCCAGGTCGGGTCCGGGTCCCCTTGCAATTTGCTCACCATCAGTCTCAATGAGACATTAGAGCAATTATTAGTCGACATTTTCTTTTCAAATTAAATTTGTTATTACTGCTTTTGAGGTACAGACACTATTATCATGGAACTTTGTTTTCTCACAATAATAAAGAGAAAACTTAGAGCCTCCAAATAAATTAATTTTATCAGATTTTTTGGAATTATCATGACCATTTGGATGTTCTTCGATGAAATAAAGGTAAAAATAAATTTATAAAAAAATAACTCATCGAGATCTCCACTTTCTACGGTCCCAACTTTTGTTGGACCCATGTCTACGCCAACCAAGTAAGTAGGCCAAATATCAATTAAATGGTCAAATAACCTCACATTATCGGTTAGGGGTGTGGCTTGTATAAAGCTGAGGCCCTGAACAATACAAAATGTTATTTCAGTACTGGAAATCTTTGTAATGGCTTGAAATTTATTTTTATATCTAATTATAAAATTTAAAGCTTGAAAAATAATATAGATGGAGCACATTTATAAACACTTGATAATCTTGAAAATTGACGGTTCAGAAAATACATTACATGATACAGTATTTTTAAGACTTGAAATCTAGTTTGGGTGCAGTTGACATACGGATGCATCCGTAGCTGTAGAGGTAAGGTGCACCTTCAAATTTTATCATGGTATATAATTTTGATATAAAATGTTCTTAGGATTATCTC